TTCTTAGCCATGTGAGATTGTTTTTTTAAAACAATTAAACCAAATGACATCATTTGTTATAATTTTTTAAGCCCCAATTTTATTTTTTTGATTATAGTTATATAATTATATTTATTATTTAATATGTTTTACCTTAAATATTATGTTGTAGTTGATTTGAATCATTTTGTTTCACTTGATTTTATGGTTTTTCATTTATACATGTTATGACTTGTGATATTTTTATACCTTTTAATATTGTAAACTTAAAAAAAGTGTTACATATATATTAATATTGCTTTGAATATTATGTAAAATTAAAAAAAATATTATTTTATATAAAATCCGGTTCAACCGCGGTTGAACCCGGTTGAACCAGTGAATCAGTACCTTCACCGGTTCAATGTCCGGTCCAGTTTTGAAAACATTGTTCTTAGTACATATATCTTGTATCTTAGTATATAAATATTTAACTTAAATTCAAATATATATATATATATATATATATATATATATATATATATATTAACTTTAAGAAATATTATTTTATATTAATTTATTGAATATATTTTATTATTAACTTATTTTAAAATATTTTGTTTTATTTTTAAAATATATATTTTATTCTTATTTAAACTTTAAAATATTTTAACATAAAAAATATTTTAAACTAAAAGAAAAATAAAATATTTTTAAAATAAGTTTATAATAAAATATATTTAATAAGTTAATATAAATATATTTTTTAAAGTTAATATATATAAAGCATTATGAATTTAATTATTTATACATTACGATACAAAATATATACATTATATTGTCTATTTTAAACCAAGCATTGATCGTGACTCAATAGTTGGGTACATGTTTTGTTACTCAAGTGACCTAGGTTCAAATCGCTTTGGCCCCATATTGTTATGCTTTATTTTCTTTCTATGATTTGTGGAAAATAAATATATTAAATTAAAATAAAATTAATCATTTAATTGAATGGTGATATGTGACACCGGTGTCACGTAGCATAATTCGATTGGAGAATTAAATTTATTTAATTTATTAAAAATATGACTAACTTGAGAGAATATATAAATATTAGGGGACAAATGTATGATTATACCAAAATATTTAGTTGTCATGTCACTTAATATAGTAATTGTTAAGGGCAATTAACTCATTAAATAAAAACAAAAATGTTCATATATTATATTTTTTGAAACCAACAAAAGAAGGTGGACAAAACATAAACATAAGTGATCGATCGTGTAGTTAATTTTTTTATTATAAATTAAGCTTTTAATTGAGCATGTCCTGTAATAAAACAAATGGTAAATTACGTAATTAGTATATAAACTATCAATTTTGGTCTATTTTAGTAGCTAAACTTTTAAATTTTCAAAATCATACCTAATGTTTAGTTTTTATTTCATTTTAGTATCACACCGTTAAAAACTTAACGTGTTTAGTACCTAAACTATCAGTTTTAGTCCGTTTTAGTACATAAACTTCCAATTTATTTCAAAACTTAATGTTAAATTTTTATCAGGGTACTAAAATATACCAAAATTGATCATCTGGATACTAAACGCTCAATTTACCCTAAAGCAAAATGGATTTGTAGGTTTTTATTATAATTTAAAACTTAATAAAGTCAAAATGTTTTTAATATAGCGATAAGATATTCCTGTTGTGTGTAACGAGAATTTTGGTTTAGTCAAAAGTCACTGTCCCTGTATTTAACTAAATAATAATATTGTTCTTCTGTCCTATTATGAATTTTTAGTAATATTTTTCCAATTTTAACTCATTATTAATTAAATTTTATAATTGATCAAATCTAGAAAATATATTTTAAAAATTTAAAATTGAATAATTTTTAAATATACATTTTATAAAATTTATTTGTTTAAAATATTTAAAATGATCATGATTAAAATTTAAAAATTTTAACTTTTAAAAAATAATAATAAACACATTTAATGGGATGAATGAAGAAATAATGATAGTTATTTATTTGTTTTAGAGAAATAATAATGGTTATTTACTCTGTATTAATGAGGGACGTAACAAATAATATTTTGTAATTATTCTAGTTTAATAAAAAAATTAGATATACTTTTTAAATGTATAATAACTTATATTTTCTAATTAAGTTCTCATAAAATGTTAAACAATTTCATTAAATCTTTCTAAATATTTTTGTTATTTTGGGATAATTTATTAACTATGGATTTTTTTTTTAATGTGGCAGTGGAATTCCAACATGTCAAGGAACTCCGATATGGTTGAATAAATATTTAAATGACACCCACATCCACATGCATGTCTCATCGATCTATCCCTATCCCTCTTTAAAGTCCAAATGCCATCAAATTTACTACTTCGCCCCTTCCTTACAATTTCTTTTTTCTCCTGTCAAAAGTCGTTATCGAACTGCAAGTAATTGCAGTGAAGCTCAAATCTGGTGTGACTTATAGTGGCCACGTCATTGGTTGCAACCCTTGAGTCATGAGATCAAGTTCTACTAATATAATAATAATGATAATAAATTAATTTTTATATAAAATTTTAAATTTTGAGCATAATAATTCACGTAGGATTATCAATATATATTTATCTCCAAATTATGTGAAAGTGTGAATGTATGTTGCTTACATACAAGGATGGATTGAGAAGGGTACTGAGAGATACGGTAACTTCTTAAAAATTTTAAATTCTCTTATATTTTAATATTTTTATAATTTATATTAATTATCTAATTTCACAACTGTTAAAATTTTATAAATTTACACCCTTAATTTAAATTATTTAGTCTGTACCTTCTTACACATGACTGAAAACAGCAGAGCCAATCATTAAAGTAAAGAAAACGTTCTGATCTCACAATTATAATATAATACAAGTAGTTGGCTGATTCTCTCCACTGTTCAAATTTCTAAACGAGTTGAACCAATTGATCAATAAAATACTCAATTCAAAAGTACAAAGGAAAATATATTCTAATAACTAATAGGTTTAGTACAAAAATAAATGCTTAAATTATGTATCAAAATAATATTTTAGTGTTTAAAGATTTTTTTTTAAAAATATATTATAATGTTTTTTTAATTATATTTTTAGGTGTCTATCATTATATTTTTTCTTGATTTTTTATAAATAAAATATTTTTAAAGAAAAAAAATTAAAAAAAACTTAATTTATTTATAAAAAACCCAAAGTTTTTTAAAACTTACAAAATAACCCCGGTTGAGTTTTCACCGGAGCTTCGAAGCTTCTTCCGCGGCAAACGAGGACACTACTTGATGAGAGGACGGTTGGGTTTTCCTCGACGTGAAATGACGCTCTCACTAGTGTAAGGGGTGACGGTCACGATTGGTCGAAAAAGGATTCGACAGTGAGGGGTAACGAACGATTTTTTTATTGTTTTGCGATGATCGACGATCGATTTAAGTGAATGTTGGTCGGGGTTAGGGTTGCAAGGCGCCAATGAAGTTGATGGTGGTGGTGATGATAAACGTCAATCAAACACTTAAAAGTATAACGTTAGAAACATTAAATATATATTTCTAAAGAAAATTTTTTTATACACTAAAATATTTTACAAACATAATTCAAACATTTATATTTGTATTAAGCCTAAATAATATACGCTTAAAATTGGAAATCATTGACCCTTCGGGAGGGATGGGAATGGAGCAATAATAACGGACAGGTGAGGCTGGGACTTGGGGGGAAGAAAGCGACTGCAAATGCATGAAATCCAAAAAAATAATAATTGAAGGCAGCAACAGTTTAGTTGTTTTCCATTAATGGAAAGATTCCTCTTTCTAAAAAGTGAAAAACCCAGACAAAGTGGCAGTGCAAGTGCCAGTATCCGGTTTTAACTTGCTATACTTTTATTACATGAAACCCATTCATGAATTCATACTGCCACTATTGTTTGCACTTACAAAGGTAAATACCTTTTTGTCTCAACTTACAAAGGTGAATTTACGATTTATGCCTGCAACTATTTGTACACTATATTTTTTGTACTTGGATAAATGATTAAATAACTCAGTTTAAATTTGAAGCAGGTACATGTTTAATTAAATTGATTTCATACCATTTAGATTTCCGTATTAATGCTATTGTTGACTTTTAAATAATAAATGAAATTCTAGAGTTTTAGTGAATTGTTAAGATGTAAACAATTATGATAAAATCCTAACCGTTAATATAAGTTAAGGATCGAATCGAGTTTTGCTTTCAGTTTAAAACTATATTTAATACAAAATAAATTTAAGGATCATATTGGTTTCTTCTCTTTCAAAAACTTTAGACCTTAAAGTATCTAAATAATTTATATTCATTGCGTGGGAATATTTTCCTCTTGATTTATTTTGTTGAAAGAAATAGTGCATTAAAAATATATTTTTGGAGGGTCAGCGTTCCGATTATTGGGCCTGAATAAGGGAATTTCTGGGCTTGCTGCTGTTTAACTGACCATATCATAGTCTTGTGTTGTTTATTTTTATGCCAGACAAATACTAGCTTAAAAGAAAACATAAGATAATACAATAGCTCAAATTTTCAACCTCGAAGAAATTGAGCCCATGCAAATGAAGAGGGCGGTTCTATGGGGTAATCATCTCTGTATCTTGCAATACAAGCTGCACATTGTCGTTATAAGCCAATCTGTACAGTTTCTTCCCTCGTTTGGTCGCCAAGCTTGTTATTTGTGTAGCTACATGGAGCAGGAAGATTTCCAGGGAAATCACTGCTGAAAACCCCATTGAAGTTTAAGAAATGGGCTTGAAGTAGATCCGTTTCCGGCATAAAAAACGTGACATTGTTAATCGAAGCCACGACTCGGCTTCCATCCAATCTGTACAGTTTCTTTCCTCGTTTGGTCGCCAAGTTTGTTATTTGTGTAGCTACATGGAGCAGGAAGATTTCCAGGGAAATCACTGCTGAAAACCCCATTGAAGTTTAAGAAATGGGCTTGAAGTAGATCCGTTTCCGGCATAAAAAACGTGACATTGTTAATCGAAGCCACGACTCGGCTTCCATCCAATCTGTACAGTTTCTTCCCTCGTTTGGTCGCCAAGTTTGTTATTTGTGTAGCTACATGGAGCAGGAAGATTTCCAGGGAAATCACTGCTGAAAACCCCATTGAAGTTTAAGAAATGGGCTTGAAGTAGATCCGTTTCCGGCATAAAAAACGTGACATTGTTAATCGAAGCCACGACTCGGCTTCCATCCAATCTGTACAGTTTCTTCCCTCGTTTGGTCGCCAAGTTGTTATTTGTGTAGCTACATGGAGCAGGAAGATTTCCAGGGAAATCACTGCTGAAAACCCCATTGAAGTTTAAGAAATGGGCTTGAAGTAGATCCGTTTCCGGCATAAAAAACGTGACATTGTTAATCGAAGCCACGACTCGGCTTCCATTAATACATGTAGGACAAGGGCTGATGCCAAGGCGGACGGTGAAGAGAAGGGACATTAGCGGGACATTGTTTAGAGTTCAAGCTTCGAAGAGCATTCGTAAAGCTTGCTGTTTTTAGGAGGGGTGATACGAGATTAGTGGCTGTACTCGTAAGAGAGTCGGAGTAATGTAATGTAGCGGTGGCAGACCAGTTACGTTGTCGACTGCAATGGGTGCGTCCATGAAAGGCAAGGTGACGTCCATGATATGGATAAGCCACGTCAACATCTTCCTCTACCTATTCTTGCTTAGTCAGCTTCGGGCATTGTCTGTTAGTTGACAACAGTTTTCATCAAACGAGGGTGTTTTTTGACCCAAGATGAGATATTATTAGTTAAAATGTTCCAAAAAAGAAAAAGAATAGTGGGAAAATTGACACTACCATCAAACGTTGGGAGTATTTTATTGCATTATGCCATAATAATATTGCTTCTTTTTGTAAAACCCATGCTTGGAAATTCTGAAATTAGCACGTTAAGGCTGATAAAAACAAATGAAAAAGGAAGAAAAATGACGATGGAAGAACAAAGCATTCATGGAGATGGAATGTAGAATTACATAACGCATTACGTAAGTTGACAAATTTTATGAAATATAAATATTCCTATACGTTTGAAGGAAACTTGATCATAATTTTGTCTTTTATAAATTAATTGACCAAAGGTAGTATCAAATAGATAAAATCTAAAATTAACCAAAGGCCCATTACTCTCACAACAAATTAACTCTGAGCTCAAATTAGGTCAACTTCGTTAAATACCAAAATAGTTCGCAAAAACATTTGGAAGGCAATACAAAATATTATCAGAGCCAGGTTTCGATCCTGGGACCTGTGGGTTATGGGCCCACCACGCTTCCGCTGCGCCACTCTGATCAGTTGACGTTATTTCTAAACAAAATTTATTTAAATCATTTCTATTCTTAATCCAATTTGATATACTACGGAATGGTAGACTGCGATTTTGGACCATATTTCATCCCCCTAAATGCTTTGATAAACTGCTTTCCCAAACATGGATTGCATCTTTTATATATACTGTTCGAAGGTTTCATCTTATATGAAGCAAGTAAAATAAAATTTAGGGTGGAAAGCAGCAGCCAGAAGAAGTAAAATAAAATTGGCTTGAGAAGTTCTAGTGGGCGCATCCGGAACCTGACAGAGGTGGAAAATTCTTGGATCCAAATGCCTAACATGGTTAATAATTGGTCAGAAGAATATTCCATAATTTAGAATTTAATAATTTAGTTGCTTCATTATAATTTAATTATTTCATAGATATTATATTTAAAGTTTGAATTTTAATATAAAATCTTAAAATCAAATTTTAAAAATGGGATTTCAAAACACATACAATTCTTTGATGAAGTATTTTTTCTTCGAGCAACAAACTTTAGTATCTTCAGGCCTTTTGTTATTTCACGTGCTTGACTGGTTAATCTAACCTTAGTTCCAGCTGGAAAATTATTATTAATTTGTTTGGACCACGAACAGATCCACTAGGCTAATAGTTATTCAAATATGTCCCCATCATATGGACCATGTTGTCTAGTGAAACCGAATTGGTGGACTTGAGTTCTGTTTGATGGGGTTCTTCAAATGTAGAGCCTTTCACACCTCATATCATCAAAGCAAGCAAAGTCAAAGATTCAATTGGATCTTTTTTCACATTCTAAACTGGACTATATATCAAGTCATCCACTGGAGTTTGTTTGCTAATTACGCTATGATTCGTTCATAATATAGACTTCAATCTCAACTTCTTTGTTTTCCTGTGATAAGAAGGCTTAGAAAATTTCTGGAAAAATCAATGGAAGAAGATGATATCTATACCAATGATGGGACGGTGGATTACAAGGGAAATCCTGCTGATAAGAAGAAAACTGGAACCTGGAGAGCCTGCCCATTTATCATAGGTAATCAGCAAACCTAGTAGTTTAAATTTTGTGATTGGAAATCTACGTTTGATGCTTACTTTTGTTATTTTATCATCAGGAAATGAAGGCTGTGAAAGACTGGCTTACTATGGGATGAGCACCAATCTGGTGCTCTACTTCAAGCATCGGCTAAACCAGCATAGTTCGGTCGCCGCTACTAATAACCAGAATTGGGGTGGAACGTGCTACATTACACCATTGCTTGGAGCATTTCTGGCTGATTCTTATCTAGGAAGATATTGGACAATTGCCTGTTTTTCAATCATCTATATCATTGTAAGTTTTACTCACCTGGTACCTGGTATTTAGTTCACTATTACCAAGTTCTTCAAAAAAAAAAAAATTATATCTGGGTATGTGAGACAATAAAAGTTTACCTTTTGCACAGGGAATGACGCTTTTAGCTTTGTCTGCATCGGTCCGTGGCATGAGGCCGAGATGCTCTGCAGAAGATAACTGCAATCCAACAGAATCGCAAAGCGCGATGGCCTTTCTGGCGCTTTACCTGATTGCTTTAGGAACAGGTGGAATCAAGCCTTGTGTTTCATCATATGGAGCTGATCAGTTTGACGACACAGACGAAAAGGAAAAGAAACACAAGAGTTCATTCTTCAACTGGTACTATCTTTCCATAAACATTGGTGCTCTTATTGCATCTTCTGTGCTGGTTTGGGTACAAGATAATGTGAGCTGGGGATGGGGTTTCGGCATCCCTGCTATAGCCATGGCCATAGCAGTATGCTTTTTCTTTTCAGGTACTCGATTGTATCGAAACCAAAAGCCTGGAGGCAGCCCTCTCACACGTCTGCTTCAGGTATTGGTGGCATCCATCAGGAAATTTAAAGTTGCAGCACCTGCAGATAAGTCTCTTTTACATGAGACAGAAGATAAAGAATCCAATATCAAAGGAAGCCGCAAGATTGACCATACAAATGATCTCAGGTCAGTGCCTGGACTTTAATCTTAATTGTCTTCATTGCATATTCAGCTGTTCTTTAGTTCCTTACTCTTGGGCTATGGCTGTAACTTCCAGTTTCTTCGACAAAGCGGCAGTGGAAATCGAAACAGACCGATTAAAGGGTTCTGTAAATCCGTGGAGACTTTGCACGGTTACACAGGTTGAGGAGCTGAAATCTATAATTCGGTTGCTCCCCATATGGGCCTCTGGGATCATCTTTTCTACTGTTTACAGTCAGATGGGCAACTTATTTGTGTTGCAAGGAGAAAGAATGGATACTCGTGTTGGTCACTCGAACTTCCACATCCCTCCGGCATCACTTTCCATCTTCGACACTCTCAGTGTGATCTTTTGGGTGCCAATCTATGACAGAATCATTGTCCCTGTGACGAGAAAATTCACCGGTCACAAGAATGGCCTGACTCAACTTCAGCGGATGGGAATCGGCCTCTTCATATCAATATTTTCCATGGTAGTAGCAGCGATTTTGGAGCACGAAAGACTCCAAATGATCAAAAGGCATAACTACTATGAGCTAAAGGAAATGCCAATGACAATCTTTTGGCAAGTTCCACAGTATTTCCTCATAGGGTGTGCAGAGGTCTTCACATTCATTGGACAGTTGGAATTTTTCTACGAACAAGCACCCGATGCGATGAGGAGTTTCTGCTCTGCTCTATCACTCACCACCGTCGCACTCGGCAGCTACTTGAGCTCTTTGCTTGTAACCATTGTTAGTGACGTGACTGCTAAGAATGGGAAACCCGGGTGGATACCGGACAACCTAAATTATGGTCACATCGATTACTTCTTCTGGCTCTTGGCAGCTTTAAGCGTGTTGAATTTAGGCGTTTATGTCTGGATTGCGAAATGGTACACATATAAAAGGGCAGTGGGGACTCTTCGTTGAGTGAATATCCCCCTTAGCATGTAAGAAATACGTTCTCTTCAAGTCAGTGTTTCAAAATAATGTAAGATACGAAGAAACATGGAGAAAAATGGAAAGCATATGTAGTAACAAAAGTTATTGTCTGGTTTAGATTGGAAGTCTCGGATTGTCTAGAAAAAGTCGGCTTATAAATGATCAAGTCTTATTCATTGATGTTGCATAGAATTTATACAATGTCAAACGTAAATCCATATAAATCATAACTAGTTCTTAGGAGGTATTTGGTTCAAGTATTCTCATTTCTCACCTAATATACTTGAAAGATAGCAGTTTAATACATAGCAGTAGTAAAACACCAGTGGAATGGGGGGCTTCTTGTACAAACAAGGAATGGAACTAGAGTTTGCTTCCTTGTTTAGCAAACAGCGAATGGCGACCTTCGGCGATCAACTCCCCTGTCTCTTTGTTTCTAACCAGAACAAGTGCTCCTGCATAACCTCCTCTTCGTCCTAATACCTTCGAGATAATCTCTAACTCATCCTGCAAATCGCCTTCGAGTTCAGATTCAGAATCGTATTAAAAAGGACCATATAATTAAATTCTCTAACAGCCAATGCCCATACCCCTGTCTGAATGAAGAAACAATAGCCATGGTCATAATCTTGGCCTAACTGAACCGATTATCAAATATCTGTATACGGTGGGATTATTGAAAGCAACTCATAACATTAAAAGACAGATATTCTTACATGGAGCTTAGCAGTTCCGAGAAACGAGATGGACATGTCGACTGAAACATTCATTGTAAGACTAGGACCTTCGACATGAACAATAGTCGCTCAAACTTCCTCGACAATATTTGCAACAGCACCAGTAGCTAAATTTCCAGTTTTATCCTGCCAGATTTAATTTATTGCCAAACAAAATGAATCCAGATTTTGGATAGCTTACGGTGAGGCGAGGAGGGACCTTGAAGGTGCAGGAAACGAAGCCAGGCTCCACCCTATCTACACGGATGCCACGTACGGCGAAATCTTCGTAGAAGCTGCCCTCGAAGCCGACTCTGTGAGGGTGAATTGTGAGCCCTGAAACGCTCTCTGCTTCTTCTTTGTTTAGCTCCAGGAACTCCTTGGCGTTTTCCATGTCCAATTTCTTAACTCTCTGTTTTAGATTAGACGGTGAGAAGTAAAAACCATGAGAGCTTAGAAGGTTCAATCCCCAAAGTTTTTTTTTCCCCAGAAACCGGCAATGCAATCAGGTTAGAGATTGGCTTTTGCAGGCGCAGTCCCAGAAAATTGGCATTATTAAAATAAATTATTAGCTTATATTACATTTGTTATTCAGTAATCAATTGGATACTTTATATTTTAGGGTAAACTACATAAATTATCACAAAATTATGGGCTTAGTCTTGAAATAACCATCATTTTTAAATTTATGTCAATATGACTACTGAACTATTTAATTGAGTTTAATAAAACCACTAGCCGTAAACAGGAGTGCTTATGTGATAGTTAACAAAATTGGTAAAATTGTATATTTGATCCTCAATACTTGTACATTCAATCAATTGATCCGAATTTTAAAGTTTGGGAATAATTTAGAAGTTTGACTATAGTTTGAGGACGTTGGTTGAAGTAATCCTTAGTTTATATCTCCTTTCATCTTCTTCCCATTCCCTTCTCATATGCTTCCTCTTTTCCAAGTTTTTAACTCTTTCTCCCTCCTGATCTCTCTGCTTAAAGCTTTATTTTTTTAACATTTTCTACTGCTTCACCCTCTCATTACCCGCTATAACAAGGAAGAAGAAAAAGGATTTTCTTGCATTTTCTTCGGAATCAAACACCATCGAGTTTCATCTTTCCACCACCTTACTAAAAAGTTTGCATTTTGTAAACCCCAGCCGTCTTCTTTACTAAATATTTCTGACCCCATTTTTTTTAATATATTTTTCTTCACATTATATGATTCTTTTTATGGCTATATTGGCTTAAGATCAGCAAAATCATGGCCGTTAATTCGGGTGACCAGAAAGAAAACATCTTGAATATTGAGGACAAAAGTAATGACCGTAGTATTCCTGCTTTCGACGGAGCATCCACCGCCGGTGGAGGTAAGATTTAGAGAGAGACAAGCTACGATTTTTGGAACGACGGTGAGAAAATCGAAAGCAACTGGAAGGAAGCGAATGGTAACAATGAATGGTACTAGCAGTAATGGTAAGAATAATAACACGGAAAGTGAAGGCTTCAATTTCATGCAAAGCAAGCAAGCAGCAATTGACGATCCGCCTTCGAAGTTGATCTGTCAGTTTATGCATAAACAAAAAGCTTCAGGCGAGTTCTCGTTGGATATGGATTTGGAAATGGATGAACTTCAACAAGAGCCGCCCCAACTCGACGGTGTATTGCCTACAGTCGCTAAATCATCGTCGCCTCGATGGCTAATCTTGCGAGGGTATCTTTTGAGTTTTGAGAACTACTCTGTAAGAAGAAAATGGAGTAAAGGGTCACCATCTCCAAGTAAAGAAGACGATAGGGCTGTTGTGTGTGGGGGGGAACAACCAACGTCCTCAAACTATAGTCAAACTTCTAAACTATTTCCCAACTTTAAAATTAGGACCAAATTGATTGAATGTACAAATATCAAGGATCGAATATATAATTATACCAATTTGTTAACCATAATAATTTCTGTTAAATGTTAACTGATAGTGGCTATATTGAATCCAATTAAATAGTTCAGTGATCGTATTGATGCAAATTTGAAAATGATAATCATTTTGAAATCAAACCCATAGTTGGATGGTCATTTATTTAGTTTACCCTATATTTTAAGTCCTTAAACGTAACGACAATTTAATCTATGTTAAATTTATTAAATTACATCATTAAATTCTTACTACTCATAAATTAGCAGGCCGTATAAAAAAAATACAATTGATGGTTAGATTGTTAATTTAGTTTTTCCCATAAGATTGAAATCTTGTTTGGTTTAATATAAAAATAAGTGTCTAAACTATACTTAAAATTAATTTTTGGTATTTAATTTTTTTTTGTTAAAAATAAGTGTCTAATATTTTTTTTACACTTTTAAGTATTTACAGTTAAAAAAACATTAAGTGACATGTGTCACGTTCAAATTTTTTATAAATAATATTTCATTTAAAAAAAATAAAAATATAAACTTGACACGTGTCAATTAACTATTTTTTAATGATAGACATCTAAAAATGTAATGAAAACATTAAAACCTATTTTTAATAAAAAAAAAAATTAAACACCAAAAATGAATTTTAGATATAACTTAATCAATTATTTTTATATTAAGTCCCTTTTGTTTTAATAATGATGAGAATGAATGTTGCTTTTTTAAATATTCAATGATGAAATGCAAGTCCCTAATCAAAGGCTGCAACATGTGTCTATCTTTACACGAGCACGCCTCGGGAAACTTGTTTATCTTAATTTGGGGTTTTAATTTAGGTGGATTATAATTCCATTATGTACTCATTTATCTTAGTTACAGGTTTACTTGCATTTCTGAATACTGTAAATTAAAATTAATCTCGATCATTGCTTTTTCAATTTATGAATCCAACTCTAACTTTTAACTTTAAAATTGTCACCCAAGTCAATTCCAATCCAAGTCTAGGTAAAACAAAGTTAATTCTCTATTGAATTGGACTCATCTTATAAACAAATACTACTAAAAATTTTAAAACCTACTGTCTCAACAATATAAATACACACATATGTGTGCTAAAAGCATGTATCTTCGTCGACCACCGTATATATTATTTTTTTCTTCAGTCAATTCAAGGTTAGTTTCTCCGCCATGATTTGTGAATTTTTCTATCAAGAATACTCAACAGTGGATTGGGAATATCTCCCTGAATTATGTCTTCTTACTATTCTTGAGAAGATAGATCAACCGATCAGCCAAATTCAATTTGGTGCAGTTAGTAGGCCTATATTCCATTCTTTTCTTGATTATAGAAGGAGTTCATACACAAAGTGGTTCCAATGCTTTTGATTAGAGCATCACAATGGGAAAACTATATAGCCTACAAGCCAAATCAAAAGTCTCAAGATTGAATTACCATGGAGATATTGTGGGTCTTGTTATGGTTGGGATTATTTCTCTTTCAAACCCTTTTACAAAGGTGAGTGCCATCCGTCTTCCTCAACTCGAAACTGTAGATAATTTTGATGTCATTATGTACCCGCTTACGATCCCTAAAGTTGTGGTGTTATTAGATGACCCTTTGCTGTGTTCGAACAATTAGATATTTAGATTGTTCTCGTAATCCATGCCGCCGACATGCGATTAGTTGTTTATAAATCTGGCCATAAAGATTGGACATATGTCGATAGGTATGGATGTAGTGAATATAATTCCACTGATATTATTTTTTTATAAAAGTTTGGTATATGCAATAGGACATTGGAACAATTTATTGTCTTTCGATGTTAAAGGCATTGGAGATGATGAAACTTCAAAATCGTCGAAATTGAACGTACTCCTACCAAATGTTTATAAAGAGGATGATTATTCAGAGCAAGCTTATCTCGTTAAGTCATCTAAGGGAAATATATACTCTATTCATAAGTATTTGTATTTTGAAGAGATAGAAGACTATAATTATGCTCATTCTACAATCACATTTGACGTTTCAAGTTGATTTTAGATGACGAAAGTGGAGAATTGCTAGAGTGAAAATTGGTTAATCATATCGATGGTGATGTTATATTTGTGGATGATGATGAAACTTTAACAGTATCAGCTCTGGATTTTCCTGAAGGTCAACCTAATGCAATATATTTTACTGATGATCATTTCTATGGCAATGCATATCCGGTGCTTGACCCTCTAGATATTGGTATTTTCCACTTGAAAGATAGAAACTTTGAGAAATATTATCGATTCAAATATCCGTTCAGTGACATGTGTCATGTTTTAGTAATTTTAAGAATTAATTTAAAAAAACAGCAGCAGTTTTCCCCCTTCTTCCTTCCCCTTCCAAAGTCTCTGGCCAGCCAGTCGTGATTGTCACCGCCACCGTCATCAGCACCAACATCAATCCCCGATCAAACCCCGTTAACCTTTCGTCGTAATATGTCATCGTTTGTCATGGAGAAGTCTTCAAAGATCCGTCGGACTGTTGTCGTTCAACTTTGATTTTGACATATTCTGATGTCCATAAGTCACACCGTCACCAACATTCCACCGTACAATTGCGATCAAAATCCAACTGTTTGGCAATGACGATGATGGTCGAAGATGACCGACGACAGTTGATAATGAGGTTAAAATGAAATTTTCAGTTTTTAAAGGGTTTTTTTTTTATAATTTGAGCAAAAACTTGGGTATTTTTATAAAGACTAAATACAAAAATAAGTGCCTAAATAATGCATCAAAAAATGTTTTGATGCCTAAAGAATTTTTCGTTAAAAATGGGTGCCTAAAGTTTTCTCCATTACACTTTTAGGTGTCTATCCTTAAAAAAATCCATTAAGTGAGATTCTTTAGGCACCAAAAGTTAATTTTGAATATTATTTAGGCACTTATTTTTATATTAAGACTTTTATAAATAAATTAAGTTTTTTTAAAATCATATTTTTATTATTAAAAAAATTAAAAAATATATAATGGTATACATCTAAAAATAACTGAGAAAACTTTAAACATCTATTTTTAGCGAAAAATTTTTTAGGTACTAAAATATTTTTAGAGACATACTTTGGACACTTATTTTTGTATTAAGTATTTTATTAATGAAATAAAACGATAATTTTAAGATTTTATTTATTATTGAATTACAATTTCAAAGAACCGATGCTTATGATATAAAATGTGATGATATAGTTTTAAAGTATGACATAATGTAGAAGCATGCACAATGTTATCATCGGAATAGAGCATCGTTAAGAAATCATTATCAAGATAATAATGTTAACATAGCAGCGAAATATACTTGCAGCTTTGACATTGAAATTCTGTTGAGTTCATTTTATTCCACTTGGTGAATGGCTAATCAAACATGTTGTTCTAAGTTTGTGAGCCATGTTTCCTCAATTCTTTCCTTTTGAAATTGAACATTTAATGCAGGACATTGCTTGATTTTGTCATTGTCTACAACACTAGCACTTGTAATTATATTACAACGTCATTCCTCTAATCTGATTTCATTACTAAGTATATATTGCCTCAATACAATAAGCTGTTTTTTATGCTTCTGTTCCCTGCAAGCCATGAACAAGTCAACTCTTCTCAGAACATTGCGTGTAAGATTCATTTATCCCATTCCCATATAATTAATTATAAGTCCAAATATGCATATTACAGAATCGAGTGATGCCACCAAATTTCTAGTTTTCTTTTGCATGATTGCAAATCTATAAAGAAAAAAGAAAAGAAAACCACGAAATCATTTGGTTTTAGCCTCACTTCTAAATTCAGTGAAATTTCTGCTATGAATTAGGGTTTTCAATTTTAATATAAATTCAGATGTGCGTACTAGTATGTATGTAGTTAAGTAGTCATGGAAAATGGTTGCTTCTTTATTGAACTATGATAAAAGGATAAAATAGATCAAACAGTTGCACAGCCTCGCTTCAAACACCTCTGGGGTTTTCAGGAACTTTTTCATCGAGGACATGAAGTTCTGAATGAGTTCAATGGCTTTGGTCAACTGGTACAATCTATACACCTGCAAAATCAATTATGGAGCTGTCAATCATCTTATTTGGTCTATAGAATGAAAATGAATCCAGTAAAAATACCAAATACCTCAAAAATGATAGGAACCAGGGGCCAGCAAGATGACTGACACTTATCAAGAATCATCTCAAATGCATGTACATCAAATATTTACTCATGTTGATTATACATGATACTTGTTCATACTAATTTTGCATAATATTTATTCATGTTGATTTTGCATGTACGACTCAATTTCTCCTTATATATACCTTCAACGCTACATACAACTCACGACAGTGTGGATGTAAACCATGCTCTGGGTGGATCACCCTATAATCCAAATTTCTTTATATTAATTGTTTATTTGATTATTGGTGCCCACTTTAAGATTTTATTTGCGTTCATGTCATACGAAAAATTTCAATAATTAATATGTGTGTATACCCTAAAAAAATATTTCTACATCCGTCATTAACTCACACCATTTATGAATCTTCTTCTAATTAATCAAAAACTATTCTAAATTAATTGTGATGGCATCCACCGCGAATGAGAACAATTTGAGAAATGATTATGATGGTTTTGTCACATTGTGGGTATAAGTTTCGCAACTCGAAGTGCTTGCTCAATCACTTGAAGAAGCACAAGAAAGAAATGTACCTAAGGTTCAAATGTAGTCTTTGTGGGCGTGATTTCCCAACAAAAGAAGAAAGGGATGAGCATCATAATAAGAGTCACTAATTAATATGTTCTATTTCTGTATGTGTGTTGTTGGGTTCTAGTTTATCATTATGTTACAATTTTATTTTCTTAATCAATGAAATGTATGTTTGTTTGTTTGTTTGAAACGTTTTTGTCAATGTGTTTTGTCCAAACTATAAGTTTTCATGCTTGATGAAAGTCATTGCTATTGCTATTAGAGTGTATGTGCAATGTCAATTGATTAAGAAAGTTCTAGATATATATTATTTTATAATTCCTTCAGATTACTCCAAAAAAATTCCCATACAGTTACATTAAAGATATTATTTTATTTTAAAAATTGATATGATAGAATGAAATGATTTTGTGAATTTATGAAACTGAATTTAGATTCAATGATACAAAAAAATTATACACTTAATTTCGAGAAAATATATATCTAAAATATTAATTTATCAAATATAATAGTTTAAAAATACCTTGAAAACTCATTAATAAAATCAGTATATATTTACAATACTAAATTTTTATGTTAAATATTTTAAAATTAATCTAAAAATCAATTAAAAATTTAATTCTAACAAATTATTTTTTGTCAGCACTAATTTAATCGGATCAAAGGACATGGCCCATTTCGGACTCGTGTTCACACGCTATAATCCCAACAGGGTTTACAGGCAGTATCAAATAGATAAAATCTAAAATTAACCAAAGGCCCTTTATTCTCACAATAAATTAACTCTGAGCCCAAATTAGGCGAACTACGTTCAATACCAAAAAAAGTTGAGCAGAAAAAGCTGGGAGTCACTATATAATATTATCAGAGCCAGGTTTCGATCCTGGGACCTGTGGGCACCACGCTTCCGCTGCGCCACTCTGATTAGTTGTGATGTCTTCAAAACAAAATATTAATAATTTTAAGTGTTTATCTTCAGTCTATTCTAAATGGTAGATTACGAGTTTGGACCATATTCCCTCTCCCTTTATGCTTTGATTAACTGCTTTCCCAAACATGGATTGGATCTTATATTGAGCAAGTTCTGGCGGAAGTCTCTAGGCTGCACAAAAAAAAGCGAGAAACCCTTGGGACCTGATATATGTAGGTGTATATTTTAACCTATGGAATAGTTGAAACCTGATCCCTGTGCTAAGAGGCCAAGCAATCGATACGAAGTGGAGCATTTGGAAGTTATGTCTACAGCCGACTTCTCGACTCTCTCGAAGGTAACTCGGGTCACGGTCGAGGTAATTATTTCCTCGTCGATCATGACTTCTCAAGTTATGTGGATGCTCAAGCAAAGAATAGAGGTGAGGCTGTACAAGTAAGATTTTGATTATCTTAAAACTCTAATCTTCTCTAATTACACCGCCTTTAGTATCATACTACTATAATGATTTACCTTCAATTATCATAATCCTCGTTTTCAATAACATCTCATCTCTTATCTGTGTTTCTTTTCTCCCTCAAATATTATTTTGTTGATCCGGCCGGGTATGGTTCTCCAAATAATTCAGAGAAAAATATCAACCCATCCATGGAGTTCCCGGAAACAGGGATTTGACAAGTTGATGAGAAGCTTCAATAATTCATTCACACATGCCTTCGTTTCAAAATGGGGTCTGTAGTCAGTACATGCGCTTCATTTTTCGCTGCGTCCAATCATATACATTCTAGGTTTTCCTCCCATAATTAACATCGATTATTTGACAAGCATCATAATTTTGTGCTATATATAGTCACGTACCTAGCTCTTCGTCGGCCCCGACCATGCATAAATATCTTTAGTTGCTGGTACCTGGATCGGGATATATAGGCAAACCAGCTGACGAAGGCTAGCAATGGTTTTTTGTTTTCCCTTTGTCCTGATTGTAGAAAGTGATTGTAAATCTGCAGTGGAGTGGATTCAATCTCCTTTTACTGCTCCTACTTTCTTTACTACTCTAGTAAAGGATATTGAGTCCCTTGTTTCAGCTAAGGCGTCTATAGTTAGGTTGAATCCAAGGGATTGTAAGTGGGAGGCTGATAAATTAGCGAAGGAGGGGATTGGGTGATTTTAAGTGTACTGTTATGGGATGTTTCTTTGTGTTTTTTGAGAGCTGCTGTATTGGGTGTACTAATTAAGTCTTATGTAATTCTATTCTATTAATAAATTGAGGTACTCGTTAGTCGGTTTTTTCCTTCGGGAAAGGTACTACTACGATGGAGGTTTTGAATTAGGCCTCCTACTTTTATAAAAAATATATATAATTGGTCCATACATTCGGCCTCCGCAGTTCAGAAGGGGTGAGCCTTTGGGTCATCATAACATGCCTGATCATTTTCGGATGGGTGAGCCTATTGGCTTTGGTGAATTTTCCAACCATGAACGAATGGGAGAATTTGGTGGACCTGGAAACTTCCGTCATCCACGACTTTGTGAGCCAGGATTTAGAAGTAGGTTTTCACTTCGAGAGTTTCCTAATGATGGTGGAGTCTATACAGTTAAGTGTTGATTTTGTTTGCTCCCCCAACCCCCAAATTATGCAAGGAAATACTGCTCATTCATCATATTTCTGCGTAAATGTATTCCAGTGTGCTTGGACACATATTTATGCTCCTGTAATAGTTTTGACCCTTTTTGTTTTCAGGGTGATATGGATTCATTTGAAAATTTGAGAAAGAGAAAACCAGTGAGCACTGGTTGGTGCCGCATTTGTAAAGTGGATTGTGAAATAGTTGGAAGTTTGGACCTGCATTTACAAACAAGGGAGCACCAGAAAATGGCTATGGATATGGTTGTGACCATCAAACAAAATGCAAAGAAACAGAAACTGTAAGTTTAATGTTCCAACATTGTGCTTGGTGGAATCATACCTTCGTTTTCTTACAAAATCTGTTTTATGTGCTGCTTTGTTTTGTAGAACCTCTGGTGATCAGTCCATACACAATGATTCAAGCAAATCAAAGAACACAAAAGTATGAAGGTCGTTCGAATAAGCATGAGTACTGACATGTGAGGTCCCCTTGCTGGTTTGGTATTTGGCACTTAGTGATGTAGGCGATTCACCCGTCAATGCCCCTTTTCTACTTTGGGACGTGGTCCTGTCAAGTCAGGTTTCTACCATGTTAACGGAGATGGTTTTGGAACTGAAGTTCATTGGCAGTTAAGTTTGGTGGTTTTTTAAATATTATTTTTGCTTTTAGAACTTCAATATTTTGCCATGCTAATGTTTTTGCTATATCAGGATGTTTTGAACTAGTTATTCATTACTACCTATATGTATGTCTGTTGGCAGTTAAGTTTGTTGTTCTTTAAAATATTATTTTTCCTTTTAGAACGTTAAAATTTTTCCATGTTAATGTTTTTGCTATATCAGGATGTTTTGAAGTGGTTATAATTTAGTATCTGTATGTATGTTTATTATGTTTTCTTCTCCCTAGGTTTTTCTAGGTAGAACCCTGTATATATCCAATACATTAGCTTTTGCATGCTTCCTTTAATTAATTGTTGTCCCAAATTTTCTTATTTTGTTTTAGGATTAGAGTCATTTGTGACGTCATGACTTTAAGTGAATCATTGTTAAATTCATCATTCAACCTATGTCACTTTTGTCTTTCTTATATAAGAAAAAAGCTGTTGGTAATGCATTGGTTACTACCCAAACATCTTTTTATTGTTCAGATGCTTTTGATATATCAACTCTTCTCGTCCCTTGAATATTCAAAGGAAGAAAACATAAGTCGTACTGGGAATTTAAAAGCAAGTTGAAGTATTATGAGTCTGTCTTAGCTGGCAGCACAAGTGCACATTACGATGTGAAGTTTACAAGGAAAATTGTTATTAAATTGCTGTAAATAGTCTAAATATGGTTTCCTATGTTGTCTATAACTAATCTCTAAGTTGATTATCCAAAAAAAAAAACTAATCTCTAAGTTGCTTTTGAACTTTAGTTCTCTGAAAATATGCTTCTTAGACTTTGTAGACTTCAAGGACTGCGGTTTTACCTGATTATTTGTGCTCAATTGTATTTTCTTTTTGTAATTAAACAGTTGTAGCCTTCTGCTTGAATTCCTTAGACATATATAGGGGTGTCAGTTTATGTGAAAAAATGTTTTCATTTTGACCTGGTTAAGGTTGAACGATTTTGGTTCCATTCTTCTGTAACACTAAAATAACTTCCGTTATCTTTTAGTAATTTTCAGGTCCAATGCTGAGCGCTATCACAGTTGTTTTAAACTTGATAGAATTGATTTTTATACTGGTGGAATTTCTTTTTTCTATAATAGATTATTTCAATCGACCTCTATTTTATTGGGTGAAGCTGACAACATAATGGATGAAACTTCAGTGGGAAGGTTTTGACTCTAATCTTTATAGACGTGGTAAGATTGTGTTCAGTGTAGCGGTAAACTTTTGCTGTGTAATGTTGTTATTTTTTTCTTATTCGAAATTGGTTAACTGCTCAGATGATATTCATTGCTTTATTGTCACGCTGTTTCTGTTTTCTAAGTAATCTTTTGTCTTGAAAAACTTGTGGTAGTCTTTGAGATACTAGAATTTAGAGGCTGATAAAACTTTTAGTTGGATTTTTAAGTTATTTCATAAAATATTTGCTAGATTTACTTTAAAAAATTAAAAAAAAATCTCTTATGAATTTAGATGATGACAAAAAATTTAGTTGGAGTTTTAAGAGATTCCACAAAATGTTTGCTAAAATTGCTTATATTTCATTATTTGAATTAGTGAAAATTTGGAATTGTTTGCTTGAAAAGTAACCAGAGGCCTAGTATCTTTTGTGTCAAATATGACTTCTGTTTGGAATGTTAAATTTGGTAGGATCTGACTTGTTATATTTGATGATAGGATCTGACTTGTTATATTTGATGATAGGATCTAATAAATTGTGTTGGTAATAGCGTGTGAATGTGCATTAACCTGTCTTCACATCTTTTTCAAACATCTTTGAATTATTTTGGATGACTTTATATGATTGGTCTTTAAAATATAGTTCTTATTTCCGAATCCTTTATAACACTTTATCAAATTGTAGGATATTTGTTGGCTGCGTAAATCATTCTAAGGTGAAATGTCAAATTTAGGATTATGATTTCTCTGCGATTGTAACTTTTTTGAAGTTTCATGACCCCTGTGGAAAATGCTTAGTGCTTCATGAGACTTTCATATATACAAAATTTATACTTCTTTGATGTTGAGCGACCCCATATTGTTGTTAGATGAAAATTCTGAACAATAAACCATTTAAGGTCAGAATAGAATTAAAGGAAGCATGTAGAGATGAAAGTGAATTGAACAGAAATATGAAAAATTGATTCTCATTATCCCTTTTATAGTCCAAAGTTGCTGACGGTGGTAATTTCTTCCAAAGTCGCGGCTGTAATCGCCCACTTATGCAAATGTTAGTCTCCTAAACAATTTCTAACTTGCCTTATTTCTTTAAAAAAAGATTATTCTCCATTTTTTTTCCTTCTAAATAGGCCTTAATCTTAAGATATAAGACTCAAATCTGGATTCTAGTTGCTTGAAATCTTGGAAACAACAATAATTGCGATAATGGTACAAATAAATGTAGGGTGGTTATTGATTGGAAAAAATCTACATAAATGATTAAATGACCAAGGGGTTCATATGAACTGCAAGAAGACTAATGTGTCGGTGCCATTTTGCAAGAATAGTGCTTCATGTGAATCTCAACACTCTAGCAACAGCACAGACCTTTGTTTTCTAAACTTTGGATCAGGGATCCAAGTAGTTTTTGATTTAGAGATACATAGTTTATTATTATTTTTATGGCTTATATCTAACATATACCATTATTGCAACGTGCAATCAATCAGGCATATGCTTACTCTTGTTGCTACTTCTTCCAAAAAGAAAATGAAAACACCAGCGGAGTACATGTGACTTTACATGTATATTCTGTCATACTGTTATGTTAATTTAGTTAGTAGCTACATCGGTCTTTTGTATATTTTAACTCGATTCTTAACTAATGTATTAAGAACTAATTAGGGGTGGGTTAAGTATCACATGTAAACGGGGATAATTTTTGTCATCAAATCAGAGCAGGGTCTACATCCAAAGCATTTTTCCTCCTAGTTTATAGTTATTAACTCCCTATTAATGACTTGTACTTGGCATGTGGTTAAATCTCTTTTTAACAGTTCTATGTTTGATAATTGAGATAATATTGTGCATATGAGGATAGTGTCTGTTGGTTAATTATTAAAAAAACTACATTCCAGGGGCCCGATAATGAGTTTATGGTTTGGTGGAATGCAAGCGTTTGAACTAACTGCTAATAGCTGTATTTTTCAGGTGGTTTTGGCTGGCTTGTAGAGTAGGATTTATGTTTTTATAATTGAGAGAAGGTAGCTGAGGAAGGCAATGCTTGGATTGAACTTGTGATATTTATTCTGCCATTTCCTTGTTTTGTAATTTTCCAACTTTTCCTTGGTGGTTGAGCCCACCACTCATAAATGGTAAATCTTAAATATAAAATATTTGTTAACACTAACACCTTTGCCTTCAAATATTATAATAGTAGGAGTAGTTATGAAATTTTAGAACTATATTTTGATGCAGTCCCACCACCAACTGCATCAAAATGGAGCTATCTTTCGTAGATGTGAATGCACAACAACAACAAATTAATTGTTTTAACAATAAAAATTGATTTAATTCTACATTTTCATACTATTATAAGCAGTAATGAAAAATTTTGAATGGCTTTTTTTCCCCTTTTCATTGGTTGAAAATATCGGAATATCGGATCTCTAATCGTCCTTTAACTATACTTTAGAATACCGGTGGATGTGATGTTAACGTAACGTGACTTTTATTATTGTCAAACACTGCACTACACTGGGACTGAGCTATACGACAAATGTATCCAGTTGTTTCTGCAATTATGATTTTTTTAGAATATCTCAGCCGTTAATTCTTTCTTTGTTGGTATGTAGGGTTAATTATGATCAAAATGTTTGTGTTTCACTCACTTTTGATTATTAATTTTAAAAATATAAGATATGATTAATTTTATTTTTATTTAATTACGATATGATCATCAATAGTTAACTACTATTAATAATTAACAGAATTCATGATGTGATAGTTGATATAATTATACATTTAATCTTTGTTATTTATATATTTTCTCAATTTAATCATATTTTTAAATATATTTGAACATAAAATGTATATTTTTAAATAAAAATAAAAATAGATTAAGTTAATAATTAAATATATTTAATAAATTAAATATAAAAAATATTTTTTAATTTAATATATTTAACATATTATGAATTTAAATATTTATACGTTAAGATATATATATATATATATATATCATGTTGTCTACTTTAAACCAAGCAATGGTCTTAACATGATATGTGGTATGACATGTGGCATCATTCGTTGAATGATTAAATTTATTAAAAGTATGATTAAATTGAGAGCATATGTAAATAATAGAGATAAAATATGTATTTATATTAAAATATTGAGAAAATAACTTCAGTGATCAAAAATCCTAGATAATATATGATTTTGACCAACTTTTTTTTGATTTGCGAAAATGACCAACAAAATCGCAATGTGATCTCTAATTCGCATTGCGATCTCCACTATTACAAATTCGCGTTGCATTTCGCGTTGCGATAGTTGAAAATCGCGTTGCAATAGTTGAAAATCGCGTTGCGCTTTTCCATTTCGCGTTGCGATAGTCTACAGTTGTCGTTGCGATTTTCCAAATTCGTTGCGAAAATTCGTTAAAAAAAAATTTGTTTCTTAAGAATTTTCCCTAAAAAGATAGTATCCGCGCGGCCGTGTCGAAAACACGTATTACCACGACCACGACCCGACCCGAGACGGACGGCGGCGGCGCGCGAGAGTCCCCCTTATTCTCTATCACTCAACAAGAAAGTGGAAAAGCCAAGCCTTAAATACCATTCCCAATAGTGTTTCCAATACTATGTGGGATTTGAGCATTACCAACACTTGTTCCCAATACGAATTTGGAAAATCGCAACGACAACTGTAGACTCTCGCAACGCGAAATGAAAAATCGCAACGCTATTTTCAACTATCGCAACGCGAAATGGAAAATCGCAACGCTATTTTTAACTATCGCACCGCGAAATGTAACGCGAATTTGCGATAGTGGAGATCGCAATGCGACCAATGTGAATTAGAGATCGCATTGCGATTTTGTTGGTCATTTTCGTAAATCCAAAAAAAATTGATCAAAATCGTATATTATCTGAGATTTTTTGTCACTGAGGTTATTTTCTCTAAAATATTTAACTGTTGTTAATAACAATTAAC